GATTCAATTATCATGTAGAATGTTCACAGGAGCTCAAACTTGATCTTTTCCATTCTTATACTGCTTCATCATCTCTGATTGCTTTCCAATTTAATTATTTCATTTAGGAATTAATTTTGTAATTATTTCTTAAGATTTTTCAAATGTAAACTTTTTATCTTCTGCCAAGTTAGTTTTTATAATTCCAAGAGATCATAAACTTTTAAATATCTGCCTAAGCTTATGTACATAGCCTTTAAAAATTAGCTATGATCAGTGAAAGCATGAAATATTGCATTTTGAGTCTTCAGATATGTGGCTTATCTACTTAGTATACTGATCTGTGTTCAGTGTAGCACTGTTATGTCTAATATGCCTTAATAATCATATATTCACACACATCTCAGCACAAAACTTACACAAGTTGGGTTGATTCACTTCTTTCTTTCTACCTTTCTTTCTTTTTTTTTTTTTTTTTTTTTTTTTTTAAATCCTTTGCAACTCTCTCATTATCTTTCTTGCTGAAAACTAACAAACTCACCAGCACATTCAACAGGAGTTCTCTCCAGCTCTAAGGCTAGTGTCCTGGTTATTCTCCAAATAGGCATTATGCCAGGACATGAAGCAGACTGCTGTGGTAGCACTGATGGATGATAGTCTCCCGCTCCTAGACTCAAGCCATCTATCCAACTTCTATTAATGCATCACTCTGCAGCATTAATATAGTTAAACTTGGGATTTTTCTGGATCCTCTCAGAAATGTGGCAAATTTATTGGCTTTCCTTTCAAGTGACTTTATCTCTGCACCTCAGAGCCCAGACTAGTATTTCCTTTGGATAGATCATCTAAAGACTCTCTCCATGGCTTGTCAGCCCTGTGCAGGTGGAGCACGCATCAGCTTCTCTGAAGAAGCAAATGACAACAATCTCTTAAAAGTTCAGAACAAGATCTTCCATGTTCAGAAATCCAACTGAGTTTTCCATCACTGCAATGCACAGTAATAGTTTTCACTAATCAAGCAGCTATATTTCATTTCAGGAATGCTTTACAGATGGTACTCATGCCTCCTCTCAGTGCTCATAGAATACAGAATCACAGAATCGCAAGGTTGGAAACGACCTGCAAGATCATCTTGTCCATCCACCCTCCCATTCCTATTAGTACCACAAGCTGCTAAACCAAATCTCATAGCTCCTCATCCAGGTGCCTCTTGAACACTGCCAGGGACGACGACTCCACCACCTCCCTGGGCAGCCATTCCAGTGCCTGACCACCCTCTGAGAGAAAAAGTTTCTCCTAATGTCCAACCGCCATCAACTCATGTGATGTATGAAAGCATTTCATTGGAAAAATGAGACAGTGTATTCAAGATCACAAAGAAGGAAAACCTGCACCTGGTTAAAAAGCTATACATGTAATCAGTAGTCTTGCTATTGACCTCATAGGTTTTAGATTAGTGCCTGTAAATGCAGAGTTAGATTTCAAGAACTTTTGACTCAGTCCTTATCAATATAACTCAACTCAATACGATTATATTCTGGGCACAAGATGTTCCAGTGCACCTAGTAGGATTTATCAGGAGTGTTGGTCTCCAGCACTCTGCCCATGATTGGTTCCTGTGGTAAGAAAAAAAATGGTGACAGAGCCATGTACTTAACACAAGCACAGTTACATATAAACTCACATTTCCATGAACAGGAATTCCTTGGCAGGAATTAGAGGAAACTTTTTTTTTTTTTCTACTGAAATCTTAGAATCATGGAATCACAGGGATTGGAAGGGACCTCTGGAGATTATAGAGTCCAAAGCTCTGCTAAATCAAGTACCCTACAGTAGACTGTGCAGGAAAGCATCCAGGCAGGTCTTGAATATCTCCAGAGATGGAGACTGCACCCTCTTTGAGCAGCCTGTTCCAGTGCTCTGTCACTCTCACAGTAAAGAAGTTATTTCTCATGTTAATGTGGAACTTCCTGTGTTCCAGTTTTTGCCCACTGCCCCTTGTCCTGTAGCTGCACATCACTGAAAAGAGTCTGACCTCAATTCATTTGACTCCTGCCCTTTATAAATTTAGAAGCGTTGATTAGATCCTCTCTGACTCCTCCAGTCTGAGCAATCCCATGTCTTTCAGCATTTCCCCATATGAGAGATACTCCAGGACCCTCATCATCTCTGTAGCCCTCTGCTGACTCTCTCCAGATTATCCCCGTCTTTTTTGAACTGGGGAATCCCAAACTGGACATGGTATTCTACATGTGGCCTCTTCAGGGCAGAGTAGAGGGGGAGGATCATCTCGCTTGGCCTCCTGGCTGTGCTCATTTCACGCACCCAGGATACCATTGATATTCTTGGCTGCAAGGGCACATTGCTGACTCATAGTCAACCTGTTGTCCACCAGGACACCTGTCCTGATTGACATTCATTCTAACACCTCTCCCTCTCACTTGCCTGTTGAAGCCATGGTAGCTGCATTTGTGGACTTGAATGTCCTTGTTGCCATCTCCCTTAGATTTGCTTTTCTTTCTGTCTACTCCACTGCCATTTGAATACTCCGAAAACTGTACCTTTTGAATCCTACTGCCTTTGATTTGGTTGTCTGTACTGTGAGTAGTTTGCTGTTGTTTCAGTTGTCTGATCTTGTAGAGAAACTGAAATACATCTAATAATTGCTCTACAGAGAAAAGAAGCAATGGTTAAATACAGCCCATGATAACAGTCACAAGATGAGGCTGTTTCTCCTTGGTTTTCACATGGGACTTGAAAGATGCATACAGGATGGGAAGAACTTAGCCTACTCTCCATTTCATTGTACCATCTGCTCCACATGCTCCATTCTTATCTCATAATAATGCTGTAGCTCAGTTATGAATATTTGATCTAATATGCAATTTCGTGCCTGACTATGACTATAGCTGCATTCGTCTGCAGAGATGGACAAGGCATCTCCTGCATTTCCCAGATGCTACAGGAGGATCAGTATGGCACAGTGCATGGAGAGCTCAACAGACCACATCTACAGAAAGAAAGTGTGGGCTACCATAACTGTTGAAAGTCTAGCTTTTAAAAGATGAGATCAAGCAAATAAGCATGTCCTAAGGACTTCTTTGAATTGTATTGTGCCCTTTCACCTCTGACTTTCAGTGTTCACCAGCCATGAATATTTAATACGGCCACTACTGCCTCCCAAGGAATGAATGACAGGTTCTGAGTTTCAAAGCTTAATCTGAAAAGCAATGCATATACATCAGTATTGAAAAGAAGCATCGCACCCAGAGCAAATCCTTTTTCATAAGCCCACTTATTAAAAAAAGTAATGTAATATCATGAGTTTTCATTAATGCAGTCTTCAATAAGCCTAAAGCAAATCCTTGCTGGCTGAGCACTTGCAGTGCTTTTGTACTGAGCTAGCTGAAAGTGCTGAAGGCTCACAGTCAGCGTATGGAGAGCAGGGGGCACGCTCTCCAGGTACAAGCTCTACTGGAGTAGATGTTGTTAAGTCCTCAGCTGTTGTTCCCACAGAAGATGGATCTGGATGTTTCATGGAAATAAGAATGCTGATTTTCAGCTCCCACAGAGTGCTTTACACCTGCAAAGTGCTAGAAAAAATGTGAACAAATTCTCACCTGTAGGTGAATATTACAGTGTTTGTTTTGCACATGTGGAAATTAAGGTATGGAAAGGTCATCAGGCTGACTCAAGGCCACACTGCTTTTCAACAACAGATTTAGGATGAAAAAATAGGCCTCTCTGGTTACATCAGTTGATCATGCTGCCTTGTAGCAAAATGTAGCTCAAGTTTCCTAAGCATTAAAAAAAATCCTGGGGAAGGAGTCATTTCCCTCTTTGCTTCTTCAAAACAAACAAGCTCCCAAGCTACCACACCCCGTGTTTACATGTATCATTAAATACTTTCCAGTTGCTAGCCAGAAAACTCAGCAGAAAACCTGTAGAACACCAAAGTAACTCTCTTCTTTTAAATAATTGATGATACCAAATAGCAGCAGTGTTGTGCCAACAAAGAGATTGGTCTCTCAAAATATTTTATTCATTATGCCTCCAGAAACCCAAAGCCTTGTTTTTGAAAAAAGCAAATTTCAGAAGTTGGCTCGCAGTTCATCTAAAACATCTGCTTATTACAAGTCTTGGTGTTACAGCACTGGTGCTCCCCTGTTCAGCTTTAAATAGTATGTATGAAGTCTTGGCAAAGAGATCAGGAAGGAGAAAGAGCAGTATTTGCCAAATACGCATTTTACTTTATGAGGCTACAGTGGTGCATTTTAGTGATATGTGTGTTGAAGGGAATCTACTAATCCGATTAAGTAACAGGACAAGAAGGAATTAATTCCAAGGTTTAGAAACACCCTATTCTATGCAGCTGAAAGTTTATATTCGTGGATAAAGAGGTTAGAAGTCTTGGAAAACTACGCTTATATAAAACAGCCTAAAATTGGTGTTTCTCCATGGTGTTTGTAAATCAAGGTCACATGTCAGAAAACTATGTTGTGATAAATCTGTCTGACAATTAGATGGAGAGGGCATATCAATGTTAAAAGGTATTCTTTGTACACTCTGATCTGAAGGCAATGTAAACACCACAGGAGCATTATGAAATAGCAAATTGCATTCCAGATAATAGCAGATATTCATGATGCATGGTTTTACACTTTAATGTGATGTGTTTCACTCAGTCATGTTAATGTTTTAAATTATGCAACGTTCCTTTCTTTATGCTTTTTTTTTTCCCTCCCCCCGTTGGAATGGACCAGTGCAAATGCACCTCTCTCCTCCTCTCCCACTCCTTCTCTGGCTCACTGCCCCTCTCCTCCCCTTTACTCTCTCTTTTCCCCTTTCTCCTTCTTTCTTCTTTTTTTTTAGCAGTGATGCTGGGAGAGAAAAAAAAGAAAAAAAGAAAAAAAAAGAAGAAAAAAAAATAATAGCCTGAACTGAAACTGTCTGTGTGCAGGAAATTAATAACAAGTAGTTTTAAGATTTAAAAGCTAGGATTTTATGTTATATATTTACAGATTCAATCTGTGTACCAGGCTTTGATCCAAGCCTTAGCATGATGACTGGAATCACTCCGATTAACCCAATGATACCAGGCATGGGGTTAGTGCCACCGCCACCGCCAACAGATGTGCCTGTAGTCAAGGAAATAATTCACTGCAAAAGCTGCACACTCTTCCCTCCAAACCCAAGTAAGTGGGCCTGATGAAAAAATGTTATTCTCCTAAATGTATTTTCTGAAACTTTTTTATCTAATAAAAACTATGGTTTGTAAGTAAAGTAAGGCATGTATGGTGTTTCCTTACAAGTTCTGCTCTGTGTTTAAATCATGGTGGAGTGTCAGAGCATGTTCACTCATCTCTGCAAGGTCATATAAAAAATTACACAGCTTGCACAAAAATGAAAATGAATTACTTAAGGCTAACAGTCTGAAAAACTACACTACTACTTGTAGTACACATCTGTCTTTCTTTTACATCAGTGTCACAAACTATAAATCTGTCCAAAGCAGCAGTGTTTGTGCAAGTGTGGTAAAAGCATCACTGTGGATAATAAGTTCTCAAGATGTCCTTCAGAGAGGTTTGAGTCAGAAGTCCATCCTGCAGATGTTTCTGAGCCATGGATAGAGAATACCAAGGTCTTTCACCCAATGAGCTCTTCCTGGTTACCCTCCCCACGGCCAGCTAGTGGAAAGCCTAAGTGCAGTGATAACTTGCTAAACAGGCAAAGAGTTTGGAGTTCTGCCCCAAATCTCTTCCACCTGGCTTTTGAGATGTAACTGGGGAACCTGAATTAGATTACTCTCTGAAGATGCCCACGTCTCTGTGTTGGTTATATGGCACCAATCCTCTTTATGTCCACCCATAGATGGAACCAACCTGGACTCATCTATGGATGAACATGGATGGCCCTGAACAGAGCACATTACGCCCAGGCTCTGCAAAGCTACAGCACACAACCAAGATAGAAAGAAAGGGAAGCTATCGTTTCTCTCCTACCATTTCTGAGGAGGCAGAATGCAGATGAGTTGTTTCTCTTTGGGGACCAGGCTTCCTTCTGCCTCTTCTGGGACTTTGTGCAAATGGAAAACTTCCCACTGAGCCACCACGATGAGAGCAGAGCAAAAAGCCTAATTTTGTGCCAGCCCCAGGAATTTAGTTTTATAGCAATCAGACCAGCTGCTTTCACCATCATTATGAAGGCAAAAGAGAAATTTAAGCAAATAATCTAGTGGTCTAGTTTGCAATGTAACTGTACGGTTTAATCAAACTGTGTGAATGTATATATGGTTATATTAAATTGTAGCCCCCTTTAGTATGTTAAAGGGCCAAAAAAAAAAAAATAATAATATCAATCAGAAATTCCTGCTCAGAGAATTACTGTTAGATGAGTACTCTAGCAATTTACATCTAAACAAGGGGAGCTGTTGTGATAGAGCATATTTTTCACACATCCCTCAAAAAAAATTAACACTTTTGTGATTTAAGTGTCCATATATACGTATATACATCAAAATAAAATTTCTAGCCACTCCATCTCAAAAGGACTTGTAAACAGTGAGGTTATCCTCCTTGCACACCGACATCCGCTCCATTATCTGGCACAGAGACAGAAGAGATAACCGGCGGAGCGCCTTCATCATCATGTCACTTGATTGTGTTTCCTGCCTTGTTTTTCTGTTTGCTCTGGTCCTGTACTCTGAGAAAGAAATGGAATTATGCTAAAACTAGGGAAGGGTGTCCAGTCCTCCTGGCTTCACGGGCTCCTTTTCAGGGGGCTTAAACTGATGCAGCTTGATGAGTGTAGTGAGTGGTGGGTGTAAGCAGGAGATGGTGAAGGTACGGAACCTTTGAAACAGAGTATTTTCCTTTTTTGTGTGTGTATTTTCTAAAAGGAGAAAAGTGTAGGGAAAAGAAGATCCTTTTAAACCTTAGCCTGGAGAATGACAGGAATTAGGCTCTGAAAAGCCACCTAAAACTTGGAAAGGTTTAGATTCAAGTAGCCAGTTCTGGACAATTTCTGCACTGTTCGATTATTTTGCTTCTCCGTCTCTCCCGACTCCATGCTATGTCAAATAACTGTTGCTGCCCTGAAATGAATAGAACCAATGGATCAAAAGACAAATTTTGTATTCCAATGTGATTTCTGTTTTGATTTAGATCTTCCACCACCTTCAACAAGAGAGAGACCTCCTGGGTGTAAAACAGTGTTTGTTGGAGGATTACCAGAAAACGCAACAGAGGAAATTATTCAGGAAGTCTTTGAGCAGTGTGGAGATATAACAGCAATTCGGAAAAGCAAGAAGAATTTTTGTCACATTCGTTTTGCAGAGGAGTTCATGGTTGATAAAGCCATTTACCTTTCTGGTACTTCACATTCTTTAATGGATTTTCTTTGCTTCTCATTTGTATTTTGTGATGCTAATGTTTGCTTATTTTCTTAGCTTTTATCCCAGCAAGTCCTTTTTTGAGCTCAGTGGCTCTAGCTTGGAGTGGCAAGGGGCAATTCTGCATTTGTCTGTGTCTGCCAAAACTTGTGAGCCGTTTTGTATGTTGAGTACCCAGGAGCAATTTCCTGCCATCCCACAACAATGCAGCAGACCCTGAAATTCACTACAGAACAATCTTGTTTTCGATTTACACAGGTTTATGTAGTTTTGCTCACAGGTTGTAGAAAGAGGAGGGCACCAGGCCAGGAACGCTGCTGTTTTCCAGTGCCAATTTCTGTGATAGCCTGGCAATTTCATTGGCATATTTTTATAGATTTGAAGAGCAGTGTGAATAAAGTCTGCCTTTATGTGTACAACCACCTGGGTTAGATTCTGAGACCCATCTGTGGGCTGTGCCTTTTGTCTCCCAGGGTCATGAATGCCATAGTATTTTAAGCGTAAAATTCCAGAATCTCTTTTATATTCCCACAAAGAATCAGACCACAAAACCATAATTCACAGGGGAAAAAAAAGTCAGCCTTGCTTTCTCAAATCAGGCTTCATTGGCTGTCAGTGCCCATTACACGAGGGCTGACTTCCCAATCTACCCAAATGAGCCCTCCTCCACCTTCATAAGTTGGATTCTATTGCCTATGTGCCTCCACTGACCAGTTCACCCCTGAGTCCTGTCCCTCTGTCCCTCTGGGACCCTCTGTCTTTGTCCCCACAAGTATCATGTAACACCTTCACCCTACATGCAAAGTACTTAGAAATGAATGAGGGCTGGAGACAGCTCGTTTATCAAAGCCAGTTGACACAGACAGGCTTACCCATCTTATGCAGGGTTACTTTGAGGAGACCCCAAGTGACCACCAAAAGAGATCTAGGGATGCAGTTAATGATTGGGGTACCTTGTCTGAGCTCCCATCCTAACCATTTTTTGTTTGCAGCAGGACATACCCTCAATGTTCATAGAAGGCTCACACAGCTAGAAAGCAGTGGTTTCCTAAACCACCATTGACTTCTTAAAATGAAAGGAATACAAGAACATCTGAGCTCTTGAAATCTATGGTCAAGAAAAAGTTCTCTGTCACATTTTTTTCCTTCTAATCTGGCTGCCTTATTTAAATTTTAGTTCAAACAGCTATACAAAATTGTGAATTTTATGATAGTTTTATGAGAATTTTATGAGTGTGGATTTCTTAAAATATTTCTGCATTTTGATGTTTCTTTCAGATCTTCACTTCTTTATACATTTTGCTTCCTTTTTTTTTCATTTATTTATTTTATTTTCACCCCATCACTTCGTCGCTCCTCATCCTCTCCTCCCTCCCATCCTTCCTGTTTATGTGTTTATTCATGCATTACTTCCATGACTCTGTACCTTATGGGGGCAGGTTACAGACCTTGCAGAAGAGGCAGTGCATTTCCCAGCATCTGTCCTAAGGAGGTTCCAGCTCCACCAGCAATAGAGCACTTGTGGAGGAGCCAAGAGAAGGCTCACAAAATGCAGTAGGAGCTGGGATTACTCTATATAATAAATTACTACAGTAGCAAGAAAGAAGCCATAGAAAACTGCAGAAATGTACAGACTGCCATCCTGGGGCAGAGCCAGTGTCCCATCATCTCAGTTTCCCAATTTTCTGTAGCTCAATGCTCCATTTGTCTCAAAGCAAAGTTTTGTTTTAGTTTTCTGTGGAAAAATCCTGGAGCATCAGATCTGATGTTTGTTAGAAATGTTCCTATTCTGTTGTGTGCCCTCACTTATGTGTGCACCCAGAACAAAGGAGGCAAGAAGAGATGGAGGAGGCAGATTCCCTTTCTCATCCTTTTATTTTTTCTGCCAGCGTATTTCTGAGTTCTTGGTCCTTTTCTCTATACTGTTCTCTAAGCCTTCCTTCTTCCCCTTCATTTCATCACAGTCACTCTTCTGCCTCCACTGCCTCTATTGCCTCTTTCACTTTCTCTTCCCATCTTTCCTTTCTTCTCCTTCTAAAACTTTTAATTTAGTCCCTCTGACCAGATCAGGAGAAGCAAGCAAACAAACAAAACAGTAGAGCTGAGATGGAGAGAAGAGAAAAGCAGGGGTGCTTAGCAAGCAACTTTCCCTTCTTTCTGCCACCAGCAGTGATTTCTGCAGACCTCTGCAAATGAAACAAGGAACACTGAATGTCTCACTGAAAGGCAGGGAGGTCAGGCATTAAGGCAGGGACTCTTTTATTTGTGCTGAAATATTATGTTTTTCTAATCAAATTTGTATTGTTTTCAAACATAACATATTCTGAAATGATGATGGAAAAGCATACTGTTACGGCCTTTTATTTTCCCTGGAAGAGACAAGAGAGAAATACAAACAGAATTTGTGGTAAATACGGTATGCGTGTTATATTAGGGAAGAATCCTGCCTTTGATATCTGTAACATAGTGATAATTTTGTCTACCTAATCAGTTTTATCTGTCTACCCCATCTAATCTCATCAAACACACTATTTATCCTGTGCTTATCATCAGAGTAATGCAAGTGACTAGAAAATCCATTAAGCAGTTTAATCGCTGATTTTTTTCCTTTCTACTCCCAACCAAAGTTGTATAAATGGGTAAGAAACCCATGTTAAAAAAAGTTGACTTTAGGAAGGTTTTCATTTAGCCCTGGAAATTGCGTTTTGATCTCCCGAGGAGAAGGCTTTCCACAATCAACATGTCACCCCATGAGAAAGCTTTTTCTTCAAATTCTACATACTTTGCTCTTGTGGCTAACGAGTCACAAACTCCTGCAAACCTGGATGGCCCTGTACTTGAAATAAGGGCCAAACAAGTTGCTTCAGACAAACCTGCTTATAGCCCAAAAGCCTAAGGATGCATTTTTTTCTATGACAGTATCTTCCCACGTGAGTTTTCCTTTAGTACTGTGTACTGGTTTTTGTTTCATGTTCTCAATGATCGTCAGCACTCTGATCTAGATCCCCAGTTAGCAGCTGTTGACTGGTCCCCAGTATAGCAGCACTCAAAGGTAAGTCAAACTATGGAGTTTTTACTAGATCAGTGATATGGAAATACTGTGTTTGATTTTTATTTAGCACCCTCATTAATTTTTCTTGCTTCTGCTCCTTTAAAGTGAGGATCTTGGCAATTTCCCAGTTTTTATTCCTCTGCCATTATGTATGTGAAACTGAAATAAAAAATGACAGGCCAAGCACACAGTTAATGCTAGCTGCAGTCCTGAGCAAAAAGCTGGGAAAAGGGTTTTGTGAGGGCAATTCATTGTCTGGGCAGGAAGGCGGAAAAGGCAGGTGATTCTCTTATGCAGTAAATACCCTCAAACATCAATACGGATACATGGTGTTGGAAAAGAGCCTGCCATCCAGCTGCCCTGCAGCTCAGATCTGCCATCACAGATGGGTGCCTGAGGATCACATATATATAAAATAGATCTGCCAGTCCTGCATCGCTGCCTACATGGTGTCTTGCTGTCTGTCGACCTGTCAAGGAGTCTGTTCTTCATTGGAGAGGTCACTGGTCCTGTAGTGTCCCCAGAGCCTTATTTAGGAGGGAACAAGAAGACATTCCAAAGAGGGATTTGCTTTTTGTTAAGGGAAGGATGCCAAGCCCTGAGCAATCTGATCTAATTTTGAAGTCACCTAGAAAGGTGACTGGACTAAAAGATGTCCAGAGTCCCTTCCAAGTGAAGTTATTCTAAGTCTCTATCCTAGTGAAAACCACCTGGCTGGCCGACCACCTTCAGCCTTAACAATTAAACTAGCAGTGTGATTATCTCAGTGTGATTCACCAGTAATTTCAAGAATCTGTTCATCTGCAGGCAGATGAACAACCAGGCAAACTGGTTACCTCAAGGGTAGCATTTGTCCAGTACTACAGAGGATACTGGGTTTTGGACTGTGATTTACACTGTACTATCCCCATTTATTTCAAAAATAAGGTAAGTCTTCAGTAAGACACTACTAGATGAGTGCACGTACAAAACTGTACAAGCACAGACCATTACAGTAGTTGTTTTTCAGATTAAGCATGGCTTTGAGGACCTTGCTCCCTGCAGTGCTGCATTTCTCAGCGTGCCTATAAGCCAACATGCTCCTGCCAACAAGGCGAAAGATAGAGGAGAAGAAGAGAGAACATGTATTCCTGGAAAGGGCAGCCCAGCTGGGAGATCTAATTTTAGGTTCACAAGACCCAGAACCCTGGCAGTGTCCTTTCACATTGCTGATAACACCTTTTTGGCACAAAGCAGTCAATATGTGCGGAATGCATCTTGGGTATAACATTTGTCATGGTTATCAGAGTAAATGCACCACTGGTCCCGTCATGTCTTTATCTCTGGGGAGAAAAACACAAAATTGTCCCCTTGTTAGCTCAGATCTCTGGGCTGAAAGGCCACTCACATTCTATTCTTCTGTTTTGTCTCGCTGGATATACGATATCTGCAATTCTTCTGTCTTGTGACTAAAACTACATGTAGCCTTTTGGAGAAAAGGTAGTGTGCTCTCCTCTGAGTAGAAGAAAGTGGAGCAAAGCAGAGGAGAATTTATATTGGTTGCATCTCTTCACCCCAAGCTTGTAAACCTTGGAAACCACATCTGGTCTGATCCATGGAAGTTTTTTTTCACCTTCTGGCTTTGAGGGACCTCTGAGACACTTAGCGTGAGCTTTCCATCTGGTATTCTTGCAGGAAAATGAAAGGTGTACCTCCACCTAACTGACAGGCTACTTAATTCCACAAGAGGTTTGAAAGGAAAATGTCTAGCAAAAAGCACCCAGATTGTTTGTTTTGGAAGGTGAATGGAGTTAAATCCACCCAATTGATCACAAGTTGTGTTCTTCAGAGGTCAGTACAGGGGCCGGCCCTGTTTAATATCTTTACTGATCGTTTGGACAAGGGGATTGAGTAAGTTTGTAGATAACACCGAGCTGAGGGGAAGGCCCAACAGAGAAATCTGGATGAGCTGGATCAATGGGCTGAGGCCAATTGTATCAGGTTTAAAAAGACCAAATGCTAGGTCCTGCACTTTAGTCACAACAACCCCATGCATTGCTGCAGGCTTAGGGCATAGGGGCTGGAAAACTGCATAAAGGAAAGGGGCCTGAGGGTGTTAGCTGACAGCCAGCTGAACATGAGCCAGCAGTTTGCTCAGATCTTCAAGAAGGTCAATGACCTTGTAGCTTGTATCAGAGAAAAAGCAGTCAGCAGCAAAAGGGAGGTGATCATCCCTCTGTAGTCGGCACTGGTGAGGCCACACCTTGAGTGCTGTGTTCTGCTTTGGGCCCGTCACTATAAGAAAGACATTGAGGCTCTGGAGTGTGTCCAGAGAAGTGCAGATAAGCTGTGAACGGCCTGGAGCACAAGTCTTATGGAGAGTGACTGAGGGAAATGGAGAAGTGGAGGCTCAGGGGACCTTATCTCTTTCTACAACTCCGTGAATAGAGGTTGTGGTGATGTGGACGTCGGTCTCTTCTCCTGTACAGCTGTGATAGAACTAGAGGTAATGGCCTCAGGTTGTGACAGGGGAGATTCAAGTTGGATATTACGAAAAAATTTCTTCTCAGAAAGAGTGATGAGGTATTGGAATAGGCTGCTCAGGGAAGTGGTAGAGTCACCATCCCTGGAAATGTCAAAGAAACATGTAGATGTAGCACTGAGGGACATGGTTTTGTGGGCACAGGGATGATGAGTTGACAGTTGGGCTACATGTTCTTAGTGATCTTTTCCAACCTTCATGATTCTTTGATTCTATGATCACTATGTGTGTGGTATTTAATGTTTGACATCGTCTCATGTGTGGTGTAGTATAGCCAGTCTCTTCATACATCAAGATGTTTTTACAGCAGTAAAACAGAGTATGCCTAGATATGCTTTCTTGCTAAAATGCTCTCAACCTACTACTTAACTTTGCTGTCCCTGGAGAAAATTGAAGACTGAGTTTTAACTTTAGTGATAAGGTGCTGAAGCTCTTCAAACCACAGCCAAACCACATGACTGAAAGGTAGGTTCTTTTGGATTACTGTTCAGAAATGGCAAACTTCTTTTTTCCTGCCATTTTGAAGAGGAGGCTCCTGTCCCTGGGGCTGTTTCACGGTAGTTATAGTAGTGTTTCTGAATAGCCTTGTTATGTGTCAGTTCTGCCCAGAGTTCATATCCACATGGTATGAGAAGTCATGGCTGGACTGTTCTGTTACTGCAGTTATGGCAGCATGTTGATATGAAGAAATTTGAGCTAGCCCTGTGCAGACTGATTAATTTTACCTGCAGCTGGAGATCTGTTTACAGCTTTCTGCTTTGTGCTCTCTCACATCTTCCCTGAATCAGCATTTTAAAAGTCAGAGAAACTGCTCTGTAACTATCTTTCAGCCGTGGAAATAAAACTTGAAAAAAGATTGGTGCCCAGCATATGTTCTTCCACAGGATGGCCATGAAAGGCTCCTTTTATAGCTTTGGTGTGATTTGTTCATCTTCTGAATGCAGCCAAGGATTTCAGTTCAGAGCAGAGCCCTGTTGCGCTGTTGTACAGCCCCTGACTTAAACAAAGCCATTGCAGTCTGCTAACTTTAGCATATGATAAATCGATCAAATTATGAATATGTAGGTCTCTAAAAATGAGATGTGATAGGTTATTTGTGCTGAAAGAGGTCTTGCAAATGTCTGATAAATCTTTCCATGGTCTTAGAACTGGTTTAAAGAATGCTCAACTTAATGTTTTTATATTATTATTGGCTTTATATCAGATTAATTTGTAGGTGGTTTATGTTTGCTGCCAGATTATGAGGCGTTAGCAATTAGGAAGCTTTGAAAGATCTAGCATCAACACAGGTATGACATCACCTTCTTTGTGGCTCAGCAATTTAGGTAATGCAATTTTCTCATTCAGCTATGGTTATGATGCTATAAATTTCAGCCTTTTCCCACACATCCCATTCCACTGGTGGGCTGGACAACAGCACAAAACTGTTCATGGTCTGAACAGCAGCAGGGGAAGAACTTTACATTCAAACCAGAGTAGATGCTTTTTTAGTGGTGGTACCCTTTCCTTTAATAAATGTTAGGAGTATCAGTTGGAAAAATGATATATATGGAAAGGCTCAGGAGCAGGAATGTAGATTCTGTATGGTTTTTTTTCAGATCATTTATTATGTTGATAGGTGATGCAGAAAAGTGCAGTGAAAAAAAAAGTGGATGAGTGTTTATCTTCCTGTGAAACTGCAATGATCGATAGGTACTGTGTGGATAAGTGGGAGCATGTGATTGTATATTTCAACTGTACTTGAAGTGGAAAAAAAAGAAAAAAAACGAGCAAAGAAGTTGTGCAACAGTTAGTTCTGCTTGTTGATTTCAGGTTACCGCATGAGATTAGGATCTAGCACAGACAAAAAGGATTCAGGCCGCCTTCATGTTGATTTTGCTCAGGCAAGAGATGACTTTTATGAATGGGAATGCAAACAAAGAATGCTGGCCCGAGAAGAACGCCACAGACGTAAAATGGAAGAAGACAGACTGCGCCCTCCTTCTCCTCCAGCAATAATGCATTATTCTGAACACGAAGCTGCTTTGCTGGCTGAAAAATTGAAAGGTAAGCAGCATTTGATACTTTGCAGTGCATTATTCCTTAGGAGCAGGGGCCATCCAGACGTCAGAACATGGAAGATGATTTCTCTCTGATGTATTTCATTACTTGCCCTGTTAACCTTCCCCTAATTCCTCTGCCATTTTTATGCCAGTCATAATGATACTCATCCACCTGCTAGAAATGTAGGGTATCTGTCTATCTAGCTGTGCTTTAACAGATGGAACACAACTTATAGAAAACTACACAGTGCTTTGTTGTTTTTTTTTTTTTTTTCTGCTCAGTTGATGTCATTGTGTGCTCTGGAAGTGTTCTCATAAGACAACCTGTTACAGACATCTTCCATACTAAGGGCCTGATTCTTAGAATGCTTTTATTTCACCAGTGATATTTTGTTATATTACATGCATGTGACTGTCCAAATTGCTGGTTTTTCAATTGCTCTCGTGAGCTGAGTTCTAACACACCCTTCAGATGCTGTGGCACAACTTATCTCTGACACACACCATCCATTCTTTCATTCCCTCTTTAGGGAATTACACGTGTAAGATAATGTATTGTTTTGTTATGTGTTTCCTTGCTTGTTTACTTCTTCTGGGTACACTCAATGACTTTCTATTTTTCAAAACTGAAGACTGCCATCTTTAAAAGTTAACATACAAATGAAGAAGCAAAGAAGTAAAAATATTCATAGTAAAGAAATAATTTAAGAAGTCAAGTAAACAACTCCTTGTACCTCTTAGACTTTGTGTTGGTTTTCATTCAGTGTTTAGCATCTGTGCTTTACATTCTTTCCCCACGTGGTGGTCAAACACGTTACCTGCTATGTGCCAGCCAAGTCACAAGAAACTGTCATTCTTGCCACTATTTCAGAATTACCCAGATTAGATGTAAGCTATCTAGCTGTCAACATGCTGGTCTGTGTTCTAACTTTGAAACATGTTTGGGAAGCTGCTGGAGAATAGTGCGAAGTTGTTGCGTCCTTGAAGCACAGAGCAGAGATGCACCCTACTGTCTGAGTACTGCATTGGTCGCTGTTACATCAGTTGGTTGCTAGTTTGGATAACTAATATTCTGGATGCATACATGCCTCTATTAAATACCTCTTGAAATAACTGGAAGATTGTTAAAATAATGCAGATAAATTGACAGGCCAAGAGTAAAAGAAGAATGAAGCCCAAGTATAAGATTTTTTTTATTTCTTACCTAGCTTCCAGTCCAGCTCCTCCAGAGCTTATACAATACAGTAGTTTTAGATTCATCTGTTCCCAGATCTGTTTTCAATAGAATATTTTAGGAGTTCATCTTTTACACGGAAGTTTTTCTTAATGTAGAAAGGCCTAGAGGTTTCCTGAGCTAAGCCAGAAAATGCAAGAAGTCTGGGCAATTTCTTCCGTATGGCTAGCCATTGCTTGGGGTAAGGAAATGTGGATTTCTGCAAGATGTTTGAGATGTCTATATTTAGAAGGGGTTTTCTTTTCAGTCTGGGAAGCTTCCATGCTTAATTGAAACTTATTTCAAGCTTTTTGGGCTTTGGTTCTTTGAAGGACAGTTGCAAAGTTTCTTTGAAGGACCAGAGCAAATAAATACAAGAAATTGAAAATTCAAAATGGTGAGTTTATTTTATATGCATTAAAAAGCATTAAAATCCACCAGAACAACATCTTGCAGTTTTAAGAACTTAGTTAATTAACTATTACACTTTAGCAAGATTAAGGTAACCAGTTCTGTACCTGTACAGGTTGTTGGGGATGGAAAACGTGAAAACAAACCCTCCATTCTCAATTGGTTGTCTATTGTACTAGGTTATCTAGGAAGTAAAGATGGGGTCCAATCATTATACTTCTGAGTCCTACACTCTGCTTAATTTTTCCAATGACATCTTGGCCAGTATCTGTGAGGGTGAGAATAGGACATTAGGGTCTTCCTTGGGCAACACAGATTCACCATGAGTACTATGTGACACCCTAAAAATAAAGGTACAACTGCACAAAAAATACATCTTTCATTGTGAGAAGGGGCAATTCCTGTCATCACATATTCAGAATTTATATGTGGACTTCAGTGAAACTAATGGGAGACATATTTATGTATACATACATACATTTGCATATGCACATATTTGTAAAATTTGGTGTCAATATATCTGTTCTCTGAGTGACACCATATCTGCATTGCTGCAAAGTCTGAACAGTACATCCTACAGAAGAGGATCAAAATATATCTGTTCTTGACAGGATTTGCCTTGAAAGTGTGGTTGCTGAGTAGATGCCCTGCAGTTGTTTTCTTAAGTCATGACCTCCCCATGATACCTGCCTCAAAAGAGTCCTGAGCTCTGCTGCTGACTCACGAGGTAGAGCTGCAGGTCCTCAAAGTGCTGGTTTCAGCTCCTGCAGTGCCTCCAGAACTTCACCGAGCAACACTAGCTGAAAAGCATGCCAAATAGCTGAACATCTGTCATCCCAAGACGCTGCTCTGCAATCACAGATGTAGACAACTTGGTCTGAGTCCAAAGAAGTTTTGTTGTCAAAATAACCTTGGAAATTCTTGATGGCAAAGAAATGTAACAGTGAACTGAGATGAACTAGACTTATCAGACAGTCTCCCGTTGTAATCTTTAGATATTTATTGGTTCTGTAGCAGAAGTGACAGTATCTTTTTTCACCTTCCACAAACTGCAGAAGCAGACTTAAAGAAGTCATTGTTTTTGCATACCAGACTTGGCTGGAAGTTCTCACCTTAGGATTGCCAGCATATTCCTCTATATTTCATGTGCTAAAGCCACCTGCTATGGCAGTCACTGCCGTGGAGACAGGTGGGTGATAGGGTGGAGAGGGCTCTTTTATGCTCAATGGAAACAGAAGTTCATTATAAAATTTCACCGTTAGTCTCTACAAGCATGAAGCTTCAATGAAGTAGCAGCTGGATTCTCAAAATACACTTCCTGGTGACTGGGACTGGGAGGTGGGATACATCCATTGCGTGTGAGGCCATGCACATCTGCAAAAGCCTGAGGGGTTATGACTTACTATCCGCTGTCTGCGGACTATCCCGTATCCCTTCATTTGTGGAAAGAACTTGGTTTGAACACTTGCTTTATTTTTTGTTGGATAAATTGTTGAAACTAATAATAAAGACTGTGAGTCAGTACAATTCATCACCACTTCCCATTTTAAACTGCGTCAGACTGTGATGTTTAATGGCAATATTTTCACTTTTCTGTTTCTTTTTTTTTCTTCGTCTTTCCTTTTTTTTTTTTTTTTTTTTTTCTTCTTCCTCCACTAAGGTCTTCAGGGTCCTGCAAATGCAATCCTTCATAACTATTTCCTTGATGGCAGTGCGAACATTTTCTCTGTAGCTTATAGCCAAGAGTATATTCACTTTTCTTCTCTTTAAATGTATACAGTGTTGTTTATTTCCCTATCCACCTATTACATTTTGCCATTGCCACTTTTCACTGTGTGGCAGTGACATATTGCCAGCATTTTGGGGATAGGTCTCATGAATCTGAGCCAGTAGCTCTAAAAATTTAGGCCCACACTACTAACTCTCATTGATTAAATGCTTTTTGAGCTGCTCTGCATTGATAATTTGTGAGTTATGTTCTCTGTTGGTCACCGCCAGAGCCAAAAGATGGAGAAGCCAAGGAGATGATAGTTCATAGAAAGAGGACATTTACTGCATTGGGAAGATGACTTGTCAGAAAATATTTTATTTAAATGTGTTTAATGCACTCCCAGACAATGTTTGCAAGCTTTCTTCATTAGTCACAGCAGATTTAGCACAAGGCAAAAGAAAACTGAAACTGGATTGTCAGAATGAAATGAGCTCCAGCAGTCAAACTAGGTAGGTAACATGAGGAAGCTCCTGTTCGTACCGGGGCTGTGCTTATTAGTTCTAAGTCTATGCCATTTATTTCATGTTCACAAGCTAGTTAGGAAAATAAAACTGCTATTATTTTGCATGAGAAGTTATTTTTTGCTAGGTTTTGTGGATTTTTTTTTTAACTTTTAAACTAAAATGGACTTGAAGGAGAAAAAAATAAAATCAAATAAATAAAATAGCACCAATTGTTTAAAATGCAAAGGAAATTTTGACTTTTTCAAAAGGTGCTCTTCAACTTTGCCTTTTGAGTTAAATATTCCAAAATATGACACGGGATTGCAAGTAGTTTCAATGGACTATCATATGATTGCCAAGGAATAAGTTAAAAGTAAGCGTAACTCAGGCTAAAGAAAGTTCTACCTCACTTCCTGAGATCCTCCAGGCTTGGATATAAGTCTGTGTTTCTTTAATGAATTATCTCAAGAATTTCATAATGTGAAGTCTGGTAAACTGAAGTATTTTACAGTGAAATGTGACTGTAAATAGCAATTGTCTACCTTTGAAGGCCTTTGAGAACAGTCCTTTCCATGCCAACAAAGCCAGCAAAATATGACGTCTTTTGTTCTTAACTTAGAAAAATGCAACCCTCTTTTCTCCTGCTTTGTTGCAGCTTTCTTGTTTTCTGCATGTTTCGTATTTTGATTCATGAGTTACGCTGTGTTATTACTACACAGTGAGATGTGGCAGTAGATATTTGGGATCAAATTTGTATACTTTCTCATCTGTTTTCCTGGATGCTTCATAAATGGCAGAAGAACGTGTCATCCAGAGCATCACACAACCAGAGATAGGTGAACCTTTCATCTTCAAATGGAATGCTGTGGTTTGGGGGAAAAAAAAAGTCATTTTTGCTGTATGCTTATGCCATTTGTGCTTCCATGCCGAGTTTTAAACATTGTGGTATTCTTAATTCGAGCATATCTCAATCATCTTCAGAAATCACTTTTTGCCTTCAAAAATATTCCTTCAAAATACTACATCTGTCTTATTTGCTGCAGGTAGTTAAATAGTTCCACCATCTAATATAGACATCTCTTCATATCTCAATATACATTTTTAAACATTTTGAGAAAAAGAGAAGTAAGTACCTGCAAGTCATGTACAGTACTCAGGTATTTACC